CTCTCTCTCTCTCTCTCTCTCTCTCTCTCTCTCTCTCTCTCTCTCTCTCACTCAGGTTCGATTCGTGAAACTCGAGAGACCGGGAGATTCGACGGTCGATAACGAGACCATCTGTTGGGTTCGGTAAACCCGACGGGACGACTTTTTTAATATCTTTAATATTTCGCTGTCGGCGTTACCGAGATAAATATATACAGTACCCGCTCATAATTATACGAACGACAGAGATTTTACACTTCACCCCGCTTTTGAAAGGCAACCATAAACGTCCCGCGTTATTGTCAGCATAAATAACTCTTTATTATAATAACTATCGCTCGTTTTATTGCGCGATCGTTGTAATTGCGCGTACTCCAAATCTCGATTGCCGCGGAGGTTAATTCCCGTGGAGCCTTTACGGGGCGCGTTAGACGGTAACCGTGGAAACTGTGTTCCCTGCGAGGCAAGATGCTGCAGACGAAAGTATTAGATACTGTAATGAGTTCACGCTTTGCCGTTGAACGCCACCGTAACGTCTTCGAGGTTTCTTATCCGAAACCCACAGCTGTGAACGAGTAACATGGTTACTCGGATAACGAGAAGTTCATACATGATTTTCTTTTTTATCCAATATTTTTAAGACTTCTACGAACAATTCACTTTTTCGTGAGAAGAATTGTTTGAAAGTTCAAGCTCCAAGGGTTAAGGTATCAGAACCACGGTGTGAACAACATGGATTGAGAATGGAGAACTGCACCTCTAGCACTTTGACTGCAAAGTATACACTCATCGAAACTCCCAATCAAAGCAATTTTCTTAACATCGCTGAAACTAAGAAGTCAATATTCTTCATAACGATTGCTCTACTATCTTTCTAGTATCTCACATCTAACAGAATTCAGTTTGTTCGTTTCATCACCGAGAAAAGTAAAGTTTATGTGAATCATGGTGTCACCCGAATTCGGCTGACACGGCAGCCAAAGTGCTAGAGTAGTCTACTCGGGAATATTTTTCTCTCAACCGAAAACGTTCTTCAACCTCGATTTTCCTTTCTACCTTCTCTGTTCATTAAACTCCAGCGATATTCGATTCCACGGACTCCCGCGATCAAAAACGCCAGCGCTCCTTGCGGGACGAGCGAATCCGAGTAATCCCATTTGAACGATTACAGGCTCGAAAAGGCAATCAGCTCGAAAATGAAAACAAACCGCGGGGCCCCGCTCATTATACCGGGATGAAATGTTGCCGCGAGGATCGATCCGGCCCTAATTTCACTTACCCACACCCGCGGCTTCCAATCTATCTTAACGATAGACCCGTGGCGTTTCCATTTAAATCTAGCAATCAAAAGGACTCTCACTCTCCCCCTATCTCTCTAGGCGACCCGCTCTCTCTCCCTCTCTCCCCTCTCTCCCTCTCTTTCTCTATCCTTCTCTATCTCGCGAATAGAAATTAGAAGTCCCTAACACACGCTCGCGCGTAACGCATACTCCTACAAAGAGACAGAGAGATTACACACGAGTCGTTTCTCTCTCGAGGCTACGGTGGCGTGGTCGATACATCATCGGACAACCGGCCACGAGAAAAAAGGAACGGAATAGATGGTGAGGACCCAGGGGACAGAGGACGGAAGGATGGGCCGCTAGCGTGGCTAGGGGCGAGGGAAGGACGAAGAAGGACGAGAGAAAGGGAGTGGGCCCCGGCAGAAACTCGAAGGGGAGGACAGGAACCGGCAATAACGAAGAGCCGCTCCAAATTCGGTAGCCGAAAATTAAACCGAGAAGGGTTTCTTGGTTGCGTCTAGACCTAGACCCTCCGGTCAAATCGTAGCAAATTATACCGTCGCGTCGGCTCCATCCGCATATTTTACGAACCATAAATATTAATCCGGCTCCGCCGGTGTGTGTATACGCGCGGCTGCTACGTCCCAGCGCGCCTCGCTTCTGTTCCACGTTCATCCGTTCGTTCAGTCCGTTTGGCCCGTTCCTCTCGCTCCGTCGGGCGAGAGAACGCGTCCTTCTTCCTCGGATCGCCCGCGGGTACAGTCCACGGTAAAATCGGGAGAGTCCGGGACAAACGGGGTATTTGCATATACTGACGCGAGGGAGACGGGGATAGAAAATAAGAGGGAGAGAGGGGGAGAGGGGGAGAGAGAGAGAGAGATATGCTCCACGTTATTCGAATTGTTTCGAATAAATATTTATCCGGGATAATTAGCCGCCCGTGGATTCTCCGGATTGAAGGAATCATCCGTTTTCGGGGAAAATCGTAAGGTTTCGTGATTGTTCGGTCGAATAATCCGTGTTTGCTTGGTCGGATAATTTTGCTCGGGTTTGGAGGTGTTTGAATAATTCATTTTTGCTCGGTCGAATAACTCGTCCCCTTCTGTGCACGTTGGAATTGTTCGGGGTCAGTTTTCAGCTGTTATCTCGTTGACGTCGACGTGCTATTCGTTGATACGGTTACGGGTGGTCAATCGGAATTATGAATGAAACGTCTGATGATCCGAGCAGACGACAGCGCATTACGATCGCTTTAACCCTTTGCGGGCGAATGTCGACATTTCGAGATGAAATGTTCATATTTGGAAGACTACGTCGCGGACAAATGATTTAATTACTCGAACAGTTAGAGGTCGGCACGTAGTTTCCTGTTCTTCTATCGATTAAGCGATTGATAGATAATTTAGCTTCGTCTATCGAAGGTTTTCTACGTTTTCAAAAACCTTCGCCCGCAAAGGGTTAATTCCGCAATGCTAAGGAAACGAGCTTCGATAAAACAACGAATGTACTATATTTCTGTAATTATAGTAATGCAACGATAATACTATCTCTTAAACTTTCAACCTGAACTTGCAGTCGCGTGTAACAGACGTAACTTCAAGCTAAGCGGTTAAGAATAGGAATCTGTATATAACAGCGCGGAAACCGAGAGATCCTCCTTGCAACACCGTCACGTTGTCCCCTCAATCTTCATCTTTGTTTGTACGTCGTTCAAGTGAACCTCTTCTGAATTGTACGAAAGCACCGTACTCGATTTAGCGGGCTGGAATCCAACAGGGACACCCGGCGAGAAGAATTTCGTCGGAGTATGTGACGTTGCTGGCGAACGTGTTAATCGGCGCCATAGAAGAATCACCGGGCAACCGGCTGTGAAATTCGGCGTCGCGTGTCCCGGTGATCGTGAACGGATCCCCGCGAAACGGGCTTTGATCCGCGTGAAATGTTGCAATGTAGCAGAGGCGGGGTCCGGCCGCATAACGGACAGCGTGAAATCGACGACGCGCGAATATGGCGCTGCGCCGCGCCGTTGGCTCTACAGGAATGTATTGTTGATGTTGACTACTGCCGTTACCCGGGCGCCTGGCGCGTTGCCACATTGTGACGGGAGCCAATCCGCGGGGAACGGCAGGATCGGCCGCCTCCGAGGTGTTTGGTCGTTAGCGCGCGCGAGCGCACACGCACGCACACGCACCGATAAATCACGACCATTAGCGGGCCGTGTGACGTGCCTCAATTGGCGCCTGCTGTATCGAGCGATATTTCAATCCGCTGTTTTTTCCTCACCCGGTATGCAAACGCGCAACAGATCGAGGTCTCTCTCTCGGGACAAGTCGCTCGGAGCGACGGAGCACTGGATTTTCCGGTGGTCTAACGATTCCGATTATTAGGACTGCATACCACCTGGCCGGGAACTGGGTTAGGCGTAGCGATCGAGGTGAACGTAATTTTGATCGAAGTTATCGAAGCGCGGTGAAATATTCCTGTTTCTTATCGGCGGATCAAACCTTCGGACCGCTGCGGACGTCATCGCTGTGACACGTGTTGTTTATGGGATATTATTTTCGAGGAAAGTGTACCTGATTTTTTGGAGTCTTCCGGAGTAAACGGGATAACCGATAGGTGGGGCTTTAAAGATTGAAGTACAGGATGTCCTGAAATCTAAGAATTTGTTGAAGAAATCCCAGGAATTTGAAGTATCGTTCAAAAGTGATCGATCGTTTAGAACTCCTTTGATTCGGGAGAAAAGGGTGTAACTACATAAAGCAACTCGATCTGACGTAGCAAAATTTCTGAAAAATCTTCGAGTGCGCAGAGTTGAAGTGACCCGGCGTCCGTTGCGCGAGGGTCAACGACGCCCGCCGAAAACTTCGGTCATTTTCGTCCAGCTCGTACATGCCGCGACAGTGGAATGCGACGCGTACCTACGTAGCTCGGCCGCCACGTCACACTTTCGATTTCCATCCCGGCGATGCCCGCGCTCTTTCGTCCCTCCGCTCTTTCGCGGGACAGGGCTGATGTCATCGAGAAGCATCTCCGTCGATGAAGGCGTACGGTCTTTCTCAACGCTGTAACCGCGCAGGATTTGCCCTCAGACTACCAGCTGCCGCCAACAAAATAGTCAGCAGGCCCAATGGGCCCAACTCAGTACTCGACGTACCAAAACAGTGATAGAAATACGAACAAAAGCCTAGTTCCGCTGCCCATAGTTCATCGCCTACACCCAGCGATCCATAAGAAACCAAGACTATCAGGGCCCAACAGGCCCGACTCGCTAAAGCAATTGAAAACAACGGAACAGCTACGAAACTCTGCCAACGCTAGCCACAGTTCATCACCTATACCCAGTGCTCCACAAAGCATTCAATGTGGGGCCCAACGTGGCTAACGAAATTCCTCGCGATCGTGAAACCCTTGTGCCGGACGGAAAGAGTAGGAATGTGTCGCCGAAGGAGAGAGAGGAGAGAAAAAGGTAGGGACGGATACTCGGAGTGTTACAGAGAGGATAGAAGAGAGGGGGAGGGGGAGAGAAACGGACAGAGAAGGGGGCCCAAGGGAGACGCGAGCACCGAGTGGGGAGGAAGAAAGCGCCGATAGGGGAGGGGCCCAGTTTTAATAGCCGAGGACCTCTCGCACCGCTCGCAGAAAATCCTCGCGGCCGATGTTCCGCCGAGATAAGCACGTAGTCCGGTAGCCCGGTTTTACCGGGCCAGTATTTATTGGTTATTGGTGTGGACCGTCATTAGCGAAACCGGGGGTCCCACCGCTCCGAGCAGATACGAAGATATCGCACGAGGCGGCAGCACGATCTGCCTCTCTTTCCTTCGCCGAGAGAGAGAAAGAGAGAGAGTGCGAGCGAGAGGGACCAAGAGGGGGGCGAGGGGAAACGAGCGAATGGGCCCCCCTCCGAACAGCCGCCATCCGCAATTTCGAGCGGACGAGACCCGGTGTCCGGGCCGATCGGACGCGTTCCGCCGAGTTGACAAATTCCTGCGGTCCCGGGCCACGCCACCGCTCCGGGAAAAGCTTCGCTCGAGGAATCGCTGGAATTCATTCCTTCTGCCAGTCCTCGGCGGAACGGGGGCCACGGACACTATGGTCGGGGACTGCGCGAGATATTTTAACGCTCGAGTCAGCGTTAACGCGTTGACTGCGGCGGCAGCAGCCGGCGACTTCTCAGTTGGTTCAAGACGAGGGGACGATTGATGTCGGAGAGATGTCTCTGGTGATGGAAGTTAGGAGACAGTGCGATGAACCTTGACGTTTCGTAGGAATTTTGCGTAGCTACATCGATACGGTCGACTATTTTCGGAGGATTATTAGGGAGATTGAACTCGATCTGTATCGGTAAACGTGATTTCGTGAGGTTGAGTAGGAAAGTAGTAGACGCGGTATCTTGCTAAATACGAATCGTTCGTAAACCACGAATGCGATTCAAAGAATCCTGACTTCCCCGAAGTCATAGGTTAAATAAAGGTACACGCGAAAGTGATTTAATTACCGTTACACAAGGTACAAGACAACGTTGCAAGTGCACAACGCGTCTGTTAAGACATTAAAGGTGCGAGAGGGAGTGATTGTAACAAGCACAGCTGCGAAATCATAGGAGCGAGGGGTTAATAAATGGCGGAGCCGACGGTGAACCGCGTCCGATATCTCTCGGCTCGAATCGACCCGAGTGGGGCCGAACGTTTAAGAGTTTTATAGTGCTAGTCGCGATCGTATCGAGCTTGCATAAACACCTGCAGCTTGACATTAACCACCGTAGGGGGAACGAGTGCGCGTCGCGTCGGGGGCCCCCGGATGGAAAAGGAGGAGAGAGCGGCGGCGAACGGGGCCCGGCGCGTCTGCCGGCGGTGTGGCGACGACGAGTTTGCCGGGGTATATTGCGAGGCTACCCGTCTTGAAGAGGACTGCTGTTGTACGCTCGTTTAGCGCTACCCTCCGGGCAAAACCACAGCCGCCATCCTGCACCCGCGGATGGAAATGCTAATTTGACCGAGGAGGGCCCTCTACGCACCCTCTCCTCTCCCTTTTCGCCGCGAGCCAGCCTCTTTCTTTTCGCTCTCGGATCGTCTTCTTCTCGGTTCCCCGTCGGACGCGGCGAGAGCGTACCGTTCGGAGTGCTACCCGACGTCCTGAGCTCTAGCACTATTAGTCATTAGACCGACGCTAGAATGCGTAACCGTTTCGAGGGTCTTCGCAAAAACCCGGTCGAAAAGTGCGAACCGGCGCAATCGTTCTTGCGTTTCACCTTGGAAACTGAGTTACGTTTTTCTATTATTATGTAAAGAATTCGACATGGCGTGATCGTGTCAGTTTTCCATTTGTAAGCAGGTAACAGGACATATTTAGAAGGATAAGTGAATGAACCGATAGGCCGACATTGTATTATCTAATCAACTTCTTTGGTAGCTTCCCGGAGAAGCATCGGTTATCTTTTTAATAATTGTAAAATAGGAAATTGGGAATCGATTTTGTTTAACTAAATGAACATTCAAATGATATATTTAAACGTTTGTAAGTTTCTTTCGTTGTGCGCGGCTTGCTTCGCTTTCAGCTGCTGAAAGCGATGCCTCGACAAGGACGGATCACATTCTGTCGATGACAAGCTCATCGAGCATCTGAATCGTCTAAACCTGCGAATTCGTCAAGTATGCGTAATGTGGGACGCGGCGAGGTGACAATCGCGTTGTAATATGCTCCGAAGTGTACGCAGCAGTTTATGTTCGTGCGTATATGTATATTCTTTGTATTATATTCTTTTAACGTAACAGTACTCCGTAGAATGATCTGAGATGTTTCAATTTAGGTTTCCGAATTCGCTTGAAAAATATCTTCACTGGAAAGCAATATTCGATGAAATGTTTCGTTTAATCGGATACTTACGTAAGTGTGAGAACTTCGCCAGTTCTTCGGTGCGTACTTGCTTAACTTATTCTCGGGGTCAACAAAGAGATACTCTCCGTCTGAAACATGAAAAAAGTTCAACCGTAAGTGAATCATCCTATCTGCAGCTCAAACGACTTTTTCTCGTCGTTCTCCGCTATGAACCTGCGAGAAGCGATTTCTATAACAAACCCTTCAACGCAACCATACTACGAATATTATAAACCTAACTATGATCACCTACTCTGCGTAATAAACCATATTAACACGTTACCGCAGTCAAACATTAAACTCAACCATATCTCACAATTCCGTTCTGTTTCTCATATTCGCACTCCGTACGGCCTCCTCACGAAAAATCCAACGGTGGCATCGTTAAATTCCAATCAATTTTTTATTATTTTACAGGTCGGTCCCCGTAAGTCCCATCGGGCTGCAGAAGGACCAGCCGACGAATGACTCGGACGAAACG